AAGCAGCAGCAGCAGCTAGCCCGGGCGTACGCTGCAGTCTGCCTTCGAGCTGCTGCAGCCGCCTAGCAGCAGCAGCTCGCGAAGCCATGGTTAAGTATGAAGCGTCCTGCAGCAGCAAACCTAAACCCTAAACCCTAAACCCTAAACCCTAAACCCTAAACCCTAAACCCTAAACCCCTAAACCCTACTCTCTCCGCTCGGGAAAATGATGCCCCCAACGCACCAGCAACTCGAGCGCGCTGACGTTGCTGCTGCCGGCTTGCTGCCGCTGCTGCTGCAGCTGCTGCAGCGGGACCTGCAGCTGCTCCTGCGCACCCATTGAAGCACACAGTGAGGGGCCGGGTGTATAAACAGAGCAGCAGTGTTGCTGCAACTTTGCTGCTGCAGCACAGCTTCTGCTGCCTTGCTGCTGCTGCTGCTGTTGCTGCTGCTGCTGCTGCTGCTGCTGCTGCTGCTGCTGCTGCGCACCTGAGCTTCTCGCACCAACGCATCCATCTCTACGCAAGTCTTGGGGCAGTAGAGCGGCGCTAAGAGGCCCCCTGTGTCGCTGAGCGCGTCGTCATTGTCTTGCTGCTGCTGCTGCTGCTGCTGCTGCTGCTGCTGCTTGAAGAGAACCCGCTGCAGCGCAGCATCTGCTGCTACTCCCTCACGCAGGGCAGTGTCCGCCTCCTGTGCAGCAGCAGTAGTATCAGCAGCAGACAGCAACACCACCATGAACCCCCGCTGCTGCTGATACTACTGCTGCTGCTGCTGCTGCTGTTTGCTGCTGCAGCAAACAGCAGCAGCAAACAGCAGCAGCAGCAGCAGTAGTATCAGCAGCAGACAGCAACACCACCATGAACCCCCGCTGCTGCTGATACTACTGCTGCTGCTGCTGCTGCTGTTTGCTGCTGCAGCACACCGCGCTGCTGCTGCAGTCCCCCCACAATCGCTGCTGCAGCGGCAGCTGCTGCAGCAGCAGCTTTTAGCAGCAAATGCAGCAGAGAGCAGCAACCACAGCAACATAAAAACCCAAACAAACAAACAAATAAAAAACGACACAAAAGAAAAAGAAAGAACAAAGAAAGAAAGAAGGAAATAAACAAACAAACAAACAAAAAAACAAAAACAAATAAACAAATAAATGAATAGATGTGGTGCTGCACTTGGCCTTACTCGTCAGTGCCTGGTTTAATGAGAGGATGTATGCAGCTCCAGAGGAGCGGTCCTCTTGCTGCTGCTGCTGCTGCTGCTGCTGCTGCTGCTGACGCGCCTCATCTGCATACGCGCACAGACTCTCCTGCAGCAGCAGCAACCGCAGCAGCAAAAGTAACAGCAGCAGCAGCAGGACAAGCAACATAGCAACCCCAAGCGATACTCCCATCAACCGAAGAAGCACCATCAGCAGCAGTAGCAGCAGCAGCAGCAGCAGCAT